ATTTAGAATCTACACTACCACAGGATGTTTCCACATAAGTTTCAGCTTTTCTGGCCCAGTGGTTCTTGAGAAGAAGATTTTCAAAGATTTTTCCAACATATTCCTATGTAAAACTTTGATTCCCCATTGTGGCCCCGCCCTTCCCCCCGGGGGTCATAATTTGAACAATTTAGAATCAACACTGCCACAGGATGCTTCCACATAAGTTTCAGCTTTTCTGGCCCAGTGGTTCTTGAGAAGATTTTTTAATGACCCCACCCTATTTTTGTCTTTTCTTGATTATCTCCCCTTGTGATGGGACTTGGCCCTTTATTTTAACAATTTAAATTCCCCGTCACCCAAGGATGCTTTGTACCAAGTATGGTCAAAATTGGCCCAGTGGTTCTTGAGAAGAAGTCGAAAATGTGAAAAGTTTACAGACGGACAGACGGACGGACACACATTTGGTTATATATTGGGTACATCAAGTCCAAGTCCTATTGGATACTGCTTATTGGATACAAAACAAGAGGCCCAGGGGCCACAGCGCTCACCTGAGCACATCGGGCTTGAATTTACCCTCCCCCCCCCCTCCAGGCGTTCATCATTTGAACAAACTAGAATCTATATTACCTGAGGATGATTCCATATAAATATCACTAATCATAGCTTTGAAGTACTTGAAAAGAAGATTTTAAAAGGTTTCTCTATATATCCCCATGTAAAATTTGGGTCGGCCATTTGGCCCCACCCTTGCCCCGGGGGTCATGATTTGAACAAACTTGAATCTACACTATCTGAGGATGATTCCACATGAGTTTCATCTTTCCTGGCTCAGTGGTTCTGGAGAAGGATTTTTAAAAATATTTCCTATATATTCCTACGTAAAACTCGGGTCGGCCATTTTGGCCCCACCCTTGCCCCAGGGGTCATGATTTGAACAAACTTGAATCTACACTACCTGAGGATGATTCCACATGAGTTTCATCTTTCCTGGCTCAGTGGTTCTGGAGAAGGATTTTTAAAAAATTTCCTATATATTCCTACGTAAAACTTTTATCGGCCATTTTGGCCCCACCCTTGCCCCGGGGGTCATGATTTGAACAAACTTGAATCTACTCTACCTGGGGATGATTCCACATGAGTTTCATCTTTCCTGGCTCAGTGGTTCTGGAGAAGGATTTTTAAAAATATTTCCTATATATTCCTACGTAAAACTCGGGTCAGCCATTTTGGCCCCACCCTTGCCCCAGGGGTCATGATTTGAACAAACTTGAATCTACTCTACCTGGGGATGATTCCACATGAGTTTCATCTTTCCTGGCCCAGTGGTTCTTGAGAAGAAGATTTTTAAAGATTTTTCCTATATATTCCAATGTAAAACTTGGGTCGGCCATTTTGGCCCCACCCTTCTCCCAGGGGTCATGATTTGAACAAACTTGAATCTACACTATCAGAGGATGATTCCACATGAGTTTCATCTTTCCTGGCTCAGTGGTTCTGGAGAAGAAGATTTTTAAAAGATTTTCCCTATATATTCCTATGTAAAACTAGGGTCGGCCATTTTGGCCCCACCCTTGCCCCGGGGGTCATGATTTGAACAAACTTGAATCTACACTACCTGAGGATGATTCCACGTGAGTTTCATTTTTCCTGGCCCAGTGGTTCTTGAGAAGAAGATTTTTAAAGATTTTTCCTACATATTCCTATGTAAAACTTGGGTCCGCCATTTTGGCCCCACCCTTGCCCCTGGGGTCATGATTTGAACAAATTTGAATCTACCCTACCTGAGGATGCTTCCACATGAGTTTGATCTTTCCTGGCCCAGCGGTTCTGGAGAAGAAGATTTTTTAAAAATGCCATTAATTTTTAATAAATTCATGATTATCTCCCCTTGGAAAAAGGCGTGGCCCTTCATTTGAACAAACTTGAATTCCCTTCACCCAAGGATACTTTGTGCCAAGTTTGGTTGAAATTGGCCCAGTGGTTCTTGAGAAGAAGATGAAAATGTGAAAAGTTTACGACGACGACGACAACAACGCCAACAACGCCAACAACGACAACGACAGACAACGGACAAATTTTGATCAGAAAAGCTCACTTGAGCCTTCAGCTCAGGTGAGCTAAAAAGTGTACACACGAGAGAGCATTATTTGGGTAGTTACTGTTCAAATCTTATTGGATATTAATCCTCGTGTTCGTATTTTATTGGGTTTTTTCTTATTGTTTTTTATTCATTTCAAATTTATTATATATTTAATATTTGCTGGTAAATTCAAACAAGACTGAAAACCTTTGGTTTTGAACCCATATTTTTGTCAATTTCTGTGATATAGCTCTTTTATTGTAACACCTAACTAATTTGTTCTTACCAATAAGGGTATACACCTGTATATTTCAAAATATCTAATATTAAAATTAATATGAATATCTAAGTGCAAAAAAACTGAATTGTGAAAACACAACTCAACACATCTCAGACTCTGTTCAACCTTTCTTGAATAACAAAATTAAGTATTTAAGAGAAACCTTTTTGAGTCATGACCAATTAATAATAAGCAAATGCCCATTACATGTTGGACAGAATGAAGGTCTCCAGCAGGCATTGGACAGGTGTCCAATACCTGTTGGGTTGAATTTTGACGAAGGGATTAAACTACCCAAGAACAATTGTACATTGTCCAAATCTATTTGGGTTTCTTGAATCTCGTCATCAAAATACAACCCAACAGGTAATGGACACCTGTCCAACTCCTCTTGGATATCTACATCCCACCCAACAGGCAATAGACACTTGTCTAATTCTTGGGTTTCTTGAATCTCCTCATAAAACACAACCCAACAGGTAATGGACACCTGTCCAACTCCTCTTGGATATCTACATCCCACCCAACAGGTAACGGACACTTGTCCAATTCTTCTTGGGTTTCTTGAATTGTTTCATCAGAATACCACCCAACAGGTAATGGACATCTGTCCAACTCCTCTTGGATATCTACATCCCACCCAACAGGCAATGAACACTTGTCTAATTCTTGGGTTTCTTGCATTGCATCATCAAAATACGACCCAACAGGTAATGGACAGCTGTCCAACTCTTCTTGGATATCTACATCCCACCCAACAGGTAATGGACACTTGTCCAATTCTTCTTGGGTTTCTTGAATTGTTTCATCAGAATACCACCCAACAGGTAATGGACAGCTGTCCAACTCCTCTTGGATATCTACATCCCACCCAACAGGTAATAGACACTTGTCCAATTCTTCTTGGGTTTCTTGAATTGTTTCATCAGAATACCACCCAACAGGTAATGGACATCCGTCCAACTCCTCTTGGATATCTACATCCCACCCAACAGGCAATGGACACTTGTCTTATTCTTGGGTTTCTTGAATCTCCTCATAAAATACAACCCAACAGGTAATGGACACCTGTCCAACTCCTCTTGGATATCTACATCCCACCCAACAGGTAATGGAAACTTGTCCAATTCTTCTTGGGTTTCTTGAATTGTTTCATCAGAATACCACCCAACAGGTAATGGACATCTGTCCAACTCCTCTTGGATATCTACATCCCACCCAACAGGCAATGGACACTTGGCTAATTCTTGGGTTTCTTAAGAAATCCCCTCATCAGAATACTACCCAACATGTAATGGATACCTGTCCAATTCCTCTTGGATATCTTCATACCCTTCAATAGTATATAAACTAAAAGGTATTGGACATTCTTCTTGGTTTACTCATTTTTTTTCATTTGAAAGAAAACCCAATAGGTATTGGACATTGGTTCAACTCTTCTTGGATATTACATCCCAACATTAGAATAAACCCCAACAGGTGATGTTTACCTGTCCAATTGGTTAATTATACCCTTCATTAAAATTGTCAAATTTGTCTTGGATATTTATACTCTTGCATTAGATTGCAAACCCAATAAGTATGACATTTACCTTCCCTAGTTGAATTCAAATTTATCTGCATAAGCATACATAAGTCCAAAACATATTTAATACTTTAATTCTAACATTCCACATCTCATTCAGTGTAAACTTTACAAATGATAGGAAATATATAAGCATTTTGTGCCTAAACTATTTGGCTTTTAAAGAATTTTATAACCATGTTAGCAAAATTTTAATTTAAATATTGGAACTTGGAGCAAGTCATTACAGTTAGAGCAAGATGCTGAAAACCATATTGATAAATAGATCACACCCTTGATAAAATATTTGCCTTCAGTTGCTAAGATTGTGTTGTATTATATGGAAAATTTCTATAATCCTGTTTATTACAGATACATGTACAATGCATATTTTCCCTGTAAAAATAAAAATGCTTCTGAGATGTAAAAGAATGGATTAAATAGTCACCAATGTTAAAAGATATTACCGGGTATATGATCTAATTAATCTGGTTTGGAAATCACAAACTTAGTTTTGAAGCCGATAAAACAGTGTCGCACCAGAAAACTCAGTTACAAGTACAATGAATGAATTCGTTGTATCAAAACTTTAAAATAATTGATGCACTATGTCCAAATCTTTTCGACAAATCGGGATAAAGATATTAAATCAAATCATCACTGTTATAAGTCTTAGAGCTAGAGAAAAGTCATTCTATGCCCAAATTTTACATGTAAGACTTTGATCCTATATTTCAATAAATGTCAAAATGGTTTTATTTTTGTTTCTGTTCAATACTTTCTTCTTCAGGGTCTCTCATGGTCTATACTGTATGATACCTCCATTGACCCTGCTCTTTTATATTGCCATATGTTTATCCAGTAGCAGTGGTTATGCGCAGGCAATCTTTGAAATATTCCTCATTCCATGTATCTCCTTCAGTTCTGCCTCTGTCCATTTTATTCATTCTGCAATTAGATAAAGGCATTTCTTTGCCGTATAAAACATGTTTTTCTTGACTACAGCAAGATCACCCTTTATGTTGATCAAACCCAACCAAGAAGTTGAAGTATAATTCTTATTCAGAAATATGTATTGATAAATAAAATGGAAGAAAAACTAAATTCTATCAAACTTTTTTTTTCTTCTATGTCTAACTGCATCTTCATCCTACCCCCCATCCGCCATAATTTTATCAAAATGGAATCATCATTCAACACACAAAACGATGTTGCACATTAATTAGACAGTATGTTAGTTTCTGATTGTTAAGAAGGAGATTTTAAAAAGATTTTACACCTATTCCTTGCAAATTTTAGACTTCTAATGTAACACAATCAGTACATTAGGGGTACATAATCTTCAAAAACATCTCTACACTTAATGATAAAGCTTTAGTATTGTTTTTAGCCCAATGGTTCTGCTAAAGAGGATTTAAAATTGACCTAAACCTTACTAACTGCTTTGAAATCATATTGACAGGGACAGAGACACACTTGACACTTCATCCCCCCTTCCTGGGTAATGCTTTGCACAAAATTTAATTAAAATTGACTAAGCTGGATACAAGTTGAAAATATGAAAAATTACAGTCAAACAGATTATGAATAACTTTCAGCACATCAGACATAAAGTAGTGATCCTGAAATAAGATACACCTACAAGATGAAGCTGTTTTATTCCTTTGAAGTGATATCTCGTATTGTTTCTTTTCCTGTATGCCACCTCTATCAGAACAAAATGTTATACAAGTCATGTATTAACATAATCTATGACCGTATAGTACCCCAGTATTTACTTTACAATTAATTAAGTTCTGGAATCAACCCTCAGATGCCCTTAAAACAAATGATTCTAAACTGGCAAAGGTAAAGGGCATCTGAAGAATTTAAAATAAAATGATAGTACAAACAAGCAAACAGTGTGCATGAAAATGTTGGCAAACACTAGAAAAAATACTAAGGTACTTTCTCAAACTTAACATGAATACTAAAGATGTTTTATGTAGCTGTAATGAACATACCAAAAGCTTTCCTGCAGTTAAAGGTTGGTTGCCTAGTAGTTATGTAGTATGTACAAGTTTTCCCTCTATCTCTTCTAATTTAAGAAGCGAAAATGTCTCTAAAAATCTTATGGTTGGAATGAAGTATTCCTGTTCATTTTACTGATTACTTACAATTGTCCTATTTCTGAGGGTCATCTTCTGATGAGTGTGTTCTCTGCAATGTTCACAATTGAAGTTCCTGTTTGACCTGTTAAATATTGAAAATCCTCAATGAACATGATTATGGTTTTAATTTCCATTGTAATTATTGATTACTTTTATAAAAAAAAAATCTAAACCAATTTATTGTAACATAATACTTAGGAAAATATTTATGTAATATCAATGGAAAAAAGAAATCATTATCTCCAGTTATCCTAAAATCACAAGTAAGCAATAATCATATAAATTCACATACGTAAACCCATTAGCTTTTTGTGCTATTAAATCATAGTCATCGCTGTGCAATAAAGGAAATCAAGTACTTATCCACAGCTTTGTGGCAATAAAGTTACTATCCCCGAGTAAAAAGTGACAAGCCCAAATATAGAGGCAAAAATTAAAAAGTAACATTGAAAAAAAGTTCATCGTAAAAAAGTCAGGGTATTAATTACAGATGATTCTTCTCAAAATTAAAGTTTGATTTAATTTTCGCTAGTAAAATTTAATTATATAAATTAATGATTTAAAAAATGAAAAAAAGGATTTAAAATATTCCTTTTCTGGTCATTCACTAGTTCGTCTAATTAAAACGAAGCAAAAGTCATTTTGTTTTCATCTTGAATCATTTAAAGCCATATATGGCATATGTACAATGAAAATTATTAGACTAAAATTATAAGAATTTATTATTTGTATCATTACTTTATATAAACATGATAAAGATAAAAATCTAAGTCAATTGCGTTATAAAGATATCAAAATTTAATTTGGATTCTCGGAATTTTCTCCGACTTGGAAGAAAATACAAAAGATTTAAATAACACATTACAGAGAAGATAAAATCGTAATACTAGATAACACGAGGTGTTCTCCGTGCTCTGAATTGTATGAAAAGCTTTAATTTAAATGTTTAACTATACAGGTAACTCTTGATGGCTCGAACTTCGATCTCTTGAAGTTCTTGATCGCTCGAAGTCAGTCTCCGGTCCCGATTTTTCCCCTAGATATAACTAAGCAAATTTACTCTTGATTTCTCGAACTCTTGATCTCGCGAAACCCTTGATCCCTCGAAGTCAAAATGCAGTCCCGCTATGCATATTCTATTGAAATTTACCCTTGAAACCTCGAGGTGGTCATGCGTATACAATGTTACATCATTAGCGACTATACCTGGACATTTAAATGGTCCCAGGCAGAAGACGCGGGTTTCTTTACTTAATTTTGTATTTTTCAAAAATATATTTTTTGATCAGATACGCCATATATGGCTTTAAAAAAAACGCAACATAATTGCAAGACACTTATCATTGAGCTGATTGAGTAAATGTATATAATTTAATAATGAGATATCTATGAGTCATATATGTACAAGCAAATATTGCTATATTAAACAAAGGAAAGAGGGGAATTCAAATTAGGAAATAAAAGATCGTTTTTAAGTAAATCAGTCTTGTAGTACTGCAAAATGGATGCAGTTGTGGAGATTTATTGATAATATGAGCATGCTGTCTGGAATATTTCTATATTAGGGAATTTAATAGCAAAAACGAGTGAAAATACCGGTGGTGCTTAAATAGTGTTAAATGTAGACCCTAAAAAGGCATGGTAATCAAGGAATCAAAAGGGCACTTTGTGTCGCGACAGGATCTCACGAGGGCACTTTCAAAACAAATGGTTATTAATGTGTTTAAAATTACATTAAACATTTATTAATTTTTACATACTTGAACATGTTTAATTACTTTTAATATCCTTTCATATTGAAATCTTTATTTAAGCAAGTAATTTAAAGATAAATTCATATATCTGTTTACTAAATTAGTAAAAAAAATTTTAAATACCAACACAATTAGCACACTTATGCTGACATGACAATTATTGAAACAAAAGGAATATAATAAAAAAGGCATTTACATGCAATTTTTTAATCAAAAAAGTAATAAGGTTACTCTTGAGAAAGTAATGGAATTTCTTTTCATGCATTACATGTGTATTTTAAAATTCCTAATAGCCCAAGGGGGTTTTTCAGTGCAGAAAACCACTAGCCCCATCCTCAAAATGGAAGCCCCGGGTGTAGCGCGATGGTAATTACACACCCATCATGTGAAATAGTTATAGTAGCCCTAAATCAATTTCAGTATTGTTTTAAATTAATTAAAACAAATGATAAAAACAATAATTTTAAAAAAATCAAAATAAAGCAGACACTCATCAGTAATGCAATGAATCTCATAAGTTACATATCAGATGATATAAACTTACATACAATTATTTAGTTGTTGTCAATTATCCCATTTATCATCATCTCAGCTCACTTTGCGATTGTAATACTGTCTACATGAACCGATAATTTACAGCTGATTTATTAACACACGATTGTTAAAGTTTTCATTTCCCTATCCAATATACATTGTCAGAACATACTTAGTTGGTTATGATATCAAATTAAATAATAAACACTTTCGATTTATTAAACATTAACTAACAATATACGATCATTTACTAAATACTTCTCGCCCTCAAGAGAGTTAGAAAGACAGAGAAAATTCAAGATAAAACAAGTGGAACTTAGGATTAATTGTTCCGATATGTCTATTTTAATTTTGGGCACAATTGTTTTCAAAATTACATTAAAATCTATTTTCCTTAAAAAAGAACCCAGCAATGGATAAATATTAATCGAATAAACTTACCTTTTCTCTTGTCAATCAGAAAATCTTGTTGACATTAAGTGTTTCTTAGTCGCCATATTTTTTTTCCATGAAAACAAACGTTGTTATGATCAGGATCAACGGAAGTTGATTTTCGGAACTCTCGAGAATTTAGAGTTCCGAATGTAAAACTGAAACAACAAAACACGGTGCGTCCGTGAAAGCAACTTTTTTAGACACTTTTTTGGACAAATCGTCGTGTCCAAGTTTTGTTGGGTACTAACCTGCAAATACCCAATTAGGGTGTTTTAAGCATATTCAATGACACTTCTTATTGGGTATACCCAATAAGCAAAAAGTACCCAATAAGTACAATCTTGGCATGAAAAATACCCAATAAATGCACTCTCGTAAACACGGACAGACGGACAGACAGACGGACGGACGACGGACAAAATGTGATCAGAAAAGCTCACTTGAGCCTTCGGCTCAGGTGAGCTAAAAAAGTACGAACACGGATATTGCTAATTCACGGATATAGCGAAGTCAATTTGGATCCCCAGCTAAATAAATTTAATTGCAGCCCGGAGGACCGGGCTGCTCTATACATATAAGTTTAAGTGTTGGTGTATGGGGATTGGGATGGGAGTAGTTATTTAGAATTGAAGGTTTTCTCAACATTTAAAAGATTGTTAATCAAAATGTTCTTTACGTTTAAAAATTACGAGATATATAATATATTTACTTCCATAAAGTGAATCTGTAAAAATATATATGTTTTTCATATTTAATATATAAAGTTGCTTATCATTTACTATCGAAAAAACGACAGGTCCCTTTTTTTAGAACATCGAATTTTACTTCTCGGATAAAAACGTACTCTGCACAGTTCGTATTTTATATTCTAAAATTGAAAATTAATACATTTTTAAATATAGGTGATGGGTGTGTTTAACTTCAATTTATATTTTATACAGCCAACATTTACTTGAGGAATTGATCAAGTTTAAAATGGTATCTTTTTTATTTACTTTTATCCGACTACAAGTTTTCAAAATATTCGCGACTATCGTCTCCATCAATTAGACGCATGCCTTTTCACACACATCAAAGCGGTTTGATGATCAAGACTCATTTTCATTTTTTACTTTATATATTTCCCGGGCGACAATTGATGGTAACGTCAATGTTTTCTTGTTAATTTCTTATACGGATATTATCGCTCCGTGATCGGGAGGTCGTGAGTTCGTATCTCGGCCGCGACTGACCCAGTCGATAAAATGGGTAGCAACTGTTCCTTCGCCATGCGCTCGGCATTTGAAGTGAAAGTTGTGGGTCCTTCGGATGAGACCTTAAAAGCCGAGGCCCCGTGTCAGCGGCAGGCGTTGGCACGATGAAGATCCCTCACTGCTTAATGGCCCTGAGTGCCGAGTAAAGGTCAAAATTTGAAGACCTTCACCGGCATACGGTGACGTCTCCATATGAGTGAAAAATTCTCGAGAGGGACGTTAAACAATATACAATCAATCAATATACGGATATTACGAATTACGGATATAGCGAAGTAATTTCATAGGTCCCAGTGACTTCGTTATAACCGAGTTTTACTGTATAAGAATGGCCGCCGATAGATCTGGGAACGATTGGTTCACCTATGATGAACAATTTAGGCTGCGCAAAGTATCTAATCCACATTCATCTTGGGGTATCATAAACTCTGAACTCTGGTTGATCCATGTTACCAACAACTATACCACGCAGGCCCAAGAAAAGCCTATAAACGAGTCACCAACGAAATAACATCTCCACGAACGAACAGAATTTTGCCTACCCACAAACATTAAAGCTGACATGAACTCTTAAAAAGGCATCAGTTTTCATCTTTGTACGACTTACTACATTCCTGTACGCCTTTGTCCGCCATATTTCTTCGATTCCGCCATATTTAATCGAACATTTTTGGCCACCTGTACCTGCTATATATAGCCTTTTACAATTGTTTCACTTGAGTGATTTTCTATCCTGGCTGTCGACATGTGCACATCTCCGATAGCATAGTTTTTAGAAGTCCATAAACTGACCAATACATGTTTGAAAAGTAAAAATTCAACAAAAACTAGAACTATACCGAGAATTAAATTATTTTTGAATGCATTTGCTGCAATATAGAAAATACACTTACACGGAATACATTCAAGTAGAGCAAAAATTCCATGCAGGTCAGTCGAGTAAACGCGTCAAACGCAGTGATAGAAATATTTACCTGAATACCGCTATCGTTACAGGGATGTGCACATGTCGAAAGAATTATCCTATTTTACTTTTATTGAAAAATGCATCTCAGAAATCATGTAATCCATTGCTAACTCAACAGTAAAAACTGCTTGGACACACGTGGTCCATGCCGATCATTTTATTTGGTCAGGGAAAATATCAAAGGTTGAAAGCGCCGTGGGGTTGACTGAAGAAAATGCAAATAATTTTTTTTTCAAGAATAAACATTACTCTTGTCTGTAAATGGTGTAATTAAAATTTTTGAAAACATGGCTTAACTTCATCAAATTTATAATAAAGCATGCATTATTACGAATCATTAACCTTTTGAAGATATGAAGATATTTTCCTGTGAAGGGGGGGGGGTAATAAAACATGCATAACACTCTCATAAAAATATTTTAAGAAAAACGTCGGAAACAGATCGGATTTCTTTATGATCAAATATAATCAAATAAATACTGTGTATTGGCTTTATTAGACCTAATATAATTTGATTTAAAGTTATTTATAATTTTATGAACAATGAAAGAAAAAGTGAGCAAATTCACATACCCCACGCTCCCACAAAAGTCGAAGTGCTGAAATTCACAGAAAAAATAAAGCAATCGTAAAATCATAAATTGTGTAATATGCACATCTATACACATTGTCCTAAATATCTGCAAAATTTTGACGAAATTGTGTGCAGCGGTTTATGAGGAATTGCCCTGACAAACTGCTCATCTTTATATTCAAGATATGGCCAAAATCTAAATATAAAAGTGTGGAAATTCCCGACAAAATAAAGATTTCGGAATTTCCTGGTGATGCGCAAATACAGACACATTGACTCCTTTAAATATCTCGAAAGTTCGACAAAACTCTGCGCATTAGTTTATAAGAGTTGCGCTGACCAAAAAAAAAAAAGGCTGAGTGATGGGTCCAAAACATTATACCTCACGCAACTTGTTGCGAGGGGTATAATAAACGAGTTTGATTCTGTGGTACAATGATAATGAAAATAGAATTTAATGTGAATTAAATTTCTAGACATAAATAATTAATGATTTCTAGAAAAAGCAGATAAAGAGAGAGAGGAAACCCCCCGTGAGGATTTCTGCATTCTACATACAATTACCTTTATAAAAATTCCATTGTCTGTTGTCCAGGTTCAGCATATAAGTGTCGGAACCGGGGGGTGGCTTTTTTACAAATATATACTTAGTATAGACATTGAATATTGCTGCGTAG